CCAAAGGTTGGGATCAACACTGAAGAAAGCCATGGTGATACCTTCCAGAAGGTGCTTCTGCCTATGATATCATCTGGACAGGTTTGTAACATGTCATTGGTCTCTTAGATAGCTAGGTTTTGAACTGATTTAGATATTAAGACAAACACCTGGCATTAAGTCAAGAAAGCAGCTGCCAGTTAGAGCTGGGCTAAAGCATCTTTTGGCCTGACAGAGGAAAACTGAAAGGTTAGAAGAAGTTCAGAAAGGATGTCAAAGATGATCCAGGGACTTAAACACATGTTGTATGAGGCTGAAAGGTTGTGGAATGTTTAATTTGGCGAAAGGAAGACCAACTGATGTTAGGATATCAATGTTCAGACATCTAGAAGGAGAAGGAGGAAAATTCCTTTTTGTTGGCCAAATCAAGTATTTTATTCTACTCTAAAGATGGTCAGGAACCCTTTTAGACCAAGAGCAAAACTAGGACTAAAAACATGGCTGCAAATTGCAGCTAGTTAGATTGTGTTAAAAATAAAATTAAAGGATCCCAATAAAGCACATGATCCTTGTCAACAGTGAGAACAGAAAACTCAAACCCATTCCCTGTCAGTATTCTTGGCATGCATGTCATGGTCGTTTCTGATCTGTATCGTGTTTGGTGCACCAAAAATACAGATGTTGGGAGAAGCCAGCACAAGTGTCCAGGTCTTCTCTAGGTACCTTCTCTAGATGTTGTTTCTTAAGCAGCTGCAAAGCCTCCCATCTTCTTTGCACAGTGAAACCCGGAAAGGAGGATATTTTCCAGAGCTGATGCTAAAACAAACACACTGAAAAACACCCACCATAGTTAGGCATGAAAGAGAATTTATTTGAAGACAGAGCAATGCATATTTATTATGCACATATCTGCATTAACAAGGTAAATTACACCACGCTCACTCTGGGCTTGTTTATTCATTAGGTCTTTAGAAAATCTACTTTGCCTCCAGATAGCAGAGATGATAATGTGAAATACACAAGCTGTGTACCAAGCCATGAGTTTGGACAAGGCTTCTGCTAGGTTGGAAGAGAAGCCACCCAGGAGGACCATCCGGAGGTAGGGAGGAGACGTCAAGAGGTTGCATATTCAATGAGGACCACTTAGCCCCATCCAAAAGGTTGTCCTTGCAGGTTATGGGCCTCTGAGGAGCACCTTAGTGTGAGAAGATACCCTTCTGGTGTGGGAAGACCCAACGTTATTTTCATTGGAAAGGAACTCATGGAGCTGACATGTCAATGGGTTCTGCCTGGAGTCTTGAGGACTACCAGCAGAGGTACTGATACTGACCCAGATCAGGGGTTGACCTGGGCATAAGGAAAGTCATGATGATGACACGGAATAGAATAGAGCTGGAAGGGACTTGGATGATGATGTTATCCATTCAGTCATGTCTGACTCTTGCAATTCTATGGGCTACAACTTCCAATTTTGCACTATTTCTGTGAGTGTTTCTATGGTCTGGCTGGTGTCAGCTTCGATGGTGTGTCCTGCCACGAGGTTCTTCAATGGCCTGGTTTCTTTTGACGGCTAACTCTTCCCAACATAATTGCTTTCTCCTGTGAAGGAAATTCATGGCTTGTATTCTCCCATGGCTCTTGTGATGGATCAGCCCCGTTCTTCCCCCTTTCAGCCCAGTTGGTGAGATCTTTTGCTGTTCCTTTTGAGCACCAGGGAATCAAGATCCAGATGGTGGACAGCTCCAGCTGCAGAAAACGTGACCTTTGAAGCCCCCCAAAAGATTAGGAAAGGGGTTCAATGCTTGAAAATAAGCAGCTAATTCAAAAGGAAGGTGGTAGAACAGGATGGAGCCTCAGGGATAATTCAGAGAAACCTTTTCGGTTCTGCATTAATGAAAATCCACCAAGCTCTTGTTTTTTTTCCTCTTCTCATCATTTTATATTTTATTTTACGGTATTGTTTTATTTTATTTATCTGTGTAGGAGTTGGCAGGAAGGCACATGGATTCTGGTTATGGTTCTGCCCAGCCTAATTCATTTTAAATAAGCGCGCTTTTGTGTTGGTATATATGTGCTCTCTGTCTGTTCGTAGCAAAGGGTCGACCCGCGAAAAGAATAAAAACGCGAGTGAAATTCCTTTACAGCTCCCGCCGGGGCGAAGCATCAGCTTCCAAGCTATAGAGATGCAAAGCGCCCCTATTTAACTGCCGGAAATTAAGGAGCGAATTTGGCCAGGAAGACGGGAGGGGCTGGAGTGTGTGTGAGAGAGAGAGAAAGGAAAGAGAGAGGGAGGGGGAGGGAGGGAGGGAGGGAGAGAGAGAGATCCATTTAGCAGGCCCCGAAGATGGCAGCTTTGGAAGTGGCAATGCGGGGAGGGTGGAAAACCAGGGGGGGGGGGGGGACCGGGGAAGCCAAGGGAAGGGAAGCGCATCCGTTTAGTTGGGGAAGGGGCTGATCGATCGATTTGCAAGTCCTTAAAGAAGCTCTAGGACGGTTGTTGTTTTTATTTGTTTTCTAAGCCGCCTGGCGCGCCTTTGAAGGCTATGCAGGGTAAAGCAGAAACAATCTGATATTTGTTTCTGGCCTTCGTCCGCGGAAAACGAAAACGTCTGGGGGGGGGGGTCCTTTAGTAAACTTAGTCCGCCCCCCACCACCACACGCACACCCATTGAAAAAAATTCAAACCAAGGGGATCTCTTGACAACAGCCATCAGTTGTACTCCAGAGAGATCTGGGTGTGAGGGTTAATTGCCGAATCAATAATGGGGGAGGGGGGGTTCAACTGGGTGGGTCTGCCCTTCTCCAGATGTGATGGATGAACCAGGATAAAAAAAAAACCGGGAGAGGCTTAATCCCAAACGCGCCCCCGTCCTCTTCAACGTGTGAACCAACCGCCTTGCAAGCGAAAGGACAAGCTCCGGGGTACCCAGGCAGGGCTCCGCGTGGGCTCCTGGGCGGCGGAATCGCCAGTCGGATGCGCTCCTGTTTATTGCGGGGGGGGGAGGGTCTCACTTCCTAACGTATTTCCGCGGCCCCGGCCGGGAGTGAAGTTTGCTGAGTTAGTTCAGCTGTTATTCCAGCGACTTCTGCGTGCGAAAATAACGAAAAATCCGGCGGGCCGCGGAAAGAACAGGCGTCCCCCGAACGGTTTCGTTGGCCTCTCTTTCCGCAGGGCTAAGGGAGGCCGCGCGCTGGTAAAGACGCCCCCGCCGCCCCCCTTCCCCCTGCCCACAATGGCCAGGTCGGTGCTGACAATGCTGTTTGGCTATCATTTGCTATTTTGACGGAAGGGGCGCGATCGCCCCCTTTTTACAACATTTGTTTCCTCCGAGGGCGACAGCCGCCTTGTGAAAGTGCCCGGTTGTGGGTCGGCTTTTCATTCGCCCTGACCCTGGGAATGTCACGCCTCGCTACTTCACTTTCAGAGGCTTTGGGACAGGGGCTTTTGTTCGGCCCCTTTGAGACCTCCGCGAAAGTCTTCGCTTTCCCCCCGCTGTAAAAGATACTTCAGGTCGGGGGAGCCGGTTCACAAGTGCGGGGCAATTGGGCTCGAACCTTTGTTCGGCCGAACAAACCAGCCAGCGCTCGCTCGCTCGCTCGCTCGCCCACCCGCCCGCTCCAGCCTGAGCCGCAGAGGGGGAAGCGGGGAGAAAGGGGCGCGTTAATCCCTCCTCGGGTGTCGGGTGGCCTTCGCTGAATTTCCCCTAAGGGAGGGGGGTTGGGGGAGAGAAAGGGAGAGAGGGGGAAAGCGACGTTTCCTTCAAGCTGGGCCCACCTTGGCAAAGAAAGGGGTTTATCTCCTGCCCACCCCCAGAATAAAATTGGAGACCAATTCCCGGAGGGTCTTTGCGGCGACTTTTCTCCCAGCGAGGAAATTGAGGAGAAACGGTGGGGGGGATGGGGGGATGGAGGTGTGAGAAAAGGGGAGAAGCGCTGAGTTTGATTGTCTAAAAATATAGGAGCTTAATAATAACACAGCCACGCACCCGCGGGCGTCTCCCTTGAAAAGTAAAGCGACTGGATTCTTGGCGTAAGGGTAAGAATTGAGGGAGGGGTCTTGGAGGCGACCTCCATCCTAAGGTCTCCTTATGCGACGGAGCAAGGACTTGGTTAACGGGAATCCTTCCTCGAGCCCGCCCCATCCTCGCTTCAACAGCCAGGATGCGCCCTTGCAGAGAGATTCGGGTCTCGGGGTTGGTTTTCCGAAAGGCAGGCGGGGGCGCTCCGTGAGAGTAAAGCCGCAGCCCTAAACACCCCCTATTCCCCACCACCCACCGGGGTCGCTCAGGAGGGGTTGGCGCCCCTCTGCTCTTCCAGTCTGGTTGTCCCACTGGATTCCGTGGAAACAGCGAGGCCGGGGGACCCAGAGGATCAGATGGGCCTGGGGGCTCAAGGAGCCGGCGAGCCCCCCAAATGGGTCAAGAGGGATCAAGGTCTCGTGTGCAGGCAGCCAAGTCTCCGCGAGAGCTTTTTGGCGATGGGAAAGACCTGAAAAATGAATCTGTTGCTAAGGAATCTTCTCTGGCGGTTCTTTCTCCTCGAGAGACTTAGAATAGTCTTAAATATACAGGTATTCGCCACCCTCGCAGAGACTTCAATGGGCAAAACCTCGGCTCGGTTCGAAGAGCAGAAGGAAAGGAGCGTTTTGCAGCCTTTACAGGAGGCGCTTCGGCTCGCTTTATGGCGAATGTATTTAGCAAATAAAACCTGGAACGGTCACGGTTTGCAAACAGCGGGGAAAGCTTGGTTTATGCGGGGTTGGCTTAGTTTTGTTAACCCAGCCGTTGTGGGCTGTAAAATAAGGCTTGGTGCGCCCTGCGAAGTCGGCCGATTGTGGTTTATTCAATAAACGGCGGTTTACCCGATCTTGGCAAGCCTCAAATCAGGAGCCAGGTCGTAATCTACGAACAGCTAGCGCGGTTTTTTAAACACCCCTCCCTCTTTATAAAATAGTCTTTTCTGCTGGGGGGGAGGGGCGGGAAGGCCGCTTTACAGGTGCAGGGGGGAGGGGTGCTCTCGTCATGACGTCACGGGCCTCCGGCTCGCCTCTAAGGAAATGCTGCCCGAGGAGGTCGCTTCACACGGTCACCCGCTGGCCGGCTCAGGCGTGCAGGTAAACACGTGCATAGGAATCAAGTCGCTTCCAAACAGACCTGGGGTAGAATAACTTCTAGGCGACTTTTCGGCTCTTAGCTGGCCTTATTTTAAGACAGGAAAAACTCAGGTCACAACTAATCAGGGAGCCGGGACACACACCCCCCGAGTCTGCCCCCCCCCCCGTCCCCACCTGTCCTGGCAGGAGCTCCGGTTAGAAACGAAGCGCGCGCTGGGGGGGGGTGTCCTCTGATTTTCCCTTCCCCTTTAACGGCGAATGTAATGAAAAGAAGGGAGGGGGCTGATAAGGACTGGAAGGCGCGGCGGCGGGGGGGGGAGCGGTTTCTCCCACCGATCCGAAGCGGCGCCGGGTAACCAGCAGGTCAGGGAAAGAGTCTAGGCGGCCTGCATTCAGACGACCCGTGAAACTTGCATTTGGTTTTAATCCGTGGAGGTCAACTCGGTAAAAGTGGCTCTTTTGGTTAATTTAAGGGTTAGGATGTTGTGAGAAACGGACGAGACAGACGTTCATTCAGAATCCGGGTAAAACCTGTTGGGGGAATGAATGCAGTCCATAAATGGTTTATTTCGTTTTTTCCGGTAAGTCTATAACCGAGACTCCATACGCAGACCCACAGATACACGGACTGTTACACACACACACACACACACACACACACATCCATTCACACACACAAACGTCGAAATCTCGCAAGGGGTTTTTGACACCGTTTCTTCACTTGACCCCCCAAGATAAGACGGAGGGAGGGCGGAGTCTCCCCTAATTCCCCGCCACGATTTCATTTATTTATTTTTGCACCCCCAAATTCTGGGCTGGGGGTAATGCCAAGAACAAAAACGGCCCTCGTTTCAAATTGGGAGATTTGGAGTGGATCCCTCCCCCCGCCCTCTTCCCCTCCGCACCGTTTTTGTCCATATTAACAAGATTATGAGAGCTACTCTGCAAAAGGGGATGTGATTTTTCCCCCTCTTTTTTTTTAAGGCGGGGGGGGGGCATCCGCGCCCATCTTACAGCTGCGTGTAAACCCGCGGATAAAATCAATAGGGTGGCGGGGGGGGTCTCTTTGGGGGGGGTCTCCCCTCTGCCGGGCCGCCCGCCCAGGCTCGCCACTGAAGCGAATTGAGGATTTATGGAGAGAAACTTAGCATAAATTATTGGCAAATCTGGGAGTCGGTGTGTGGTCTCCCTTGTGGGAAAGGGGGCTTAGCTCAGAGTCCCCCGGACGCCCATCGAGGCCTCCTGAGCTTGATGGAGTTCCACGGGATAGAAGTGACTTCGGGGATTTGGGTCCCGTTTTCCCAACGCGTCTTCTGGCGCCTGATTTGCATAAGCCCCCCTCCCCCCACTCTTCCTAGCCTGTTTGTTCCGTTTGCACGCAGAAAACCGTGTTCACAAGACACCCTTGCCCTGCTCTCGGAAAGAACCGTTTGCTAGAGGGAAGCCTAAACTAACCTGCACACCCGGAATTTAACTAACCGGCTTTTCTAGCCCCAGAAAAATAGGCATGGTGAAAACTAACCAGCTTCTTCCTTGACCTGGTTGTCTGAACAGAGCTAAAGAGCTGCCCCCGGTTAAATGCCAGGCGCCCTTCTCTTGAAAGGGGAAAGGTGGTTTCGAAAGAAAGGGGTGGATCACGTGGCGGCCCCAGCCGGGTAGATTCTAAAATTAATTTCAAGCGCAAAGAAGACGCGTATTTCTTGGGATGACTCGCAGGTTACGTGAGAACGCAGCCTTCCCGTCCAGGCTGTTGACCCCGCCTGCTGAGGTGTGGGTGGTTTTCCTCCCAGAAAGAGGCCTTTGGCCGGTGGGTGAGGGTTCCCCAGTCCTCCGGCCACGCGGATCTACCTCCCCGCCTCCCTCCTGGAGCCCCCACCCGGCTTGGATTTCTTTCCAGACCAGCGGGCTGCCAGGCGGCTTCTTTGCTCCGGAGAAAATCCGGCACTTGGACTCTCCGGGCAACCGGACGGCGCCTCTTTCGTTGAGCGAGGGGCGCCCAGAAAGCCTAAGACTGAGCAGGCCTGGTGGTCCTTCAACGCTTGCAGGGCGGCGGGGGCTCTTTAGGTCCAACCCTCCTCTCCCCCCCCCCCCCTTGGTAGCCAGACTCTTTTGAGCCGGACTCCCGGTTGCCGTCGCCAACTGTTTTCCCGGGAACCTGCGCCCACCGCCTTAGAGGGATAGCGAGGGAAAAGAACCACTTGCTTTTTATTACAAGAAAAATTCTCGGTTTTCTTTCGGGGGTCATCAGTCAAGGTCTACGGGTGTTTTCTCCCGGCCTTCCAGGAGCCCAAGGATTATCCAGGCTCAACCAGGTTATTTCTCCCAGACTTGGCGGGGGTGGGGGGGGAGAGCGTAATCCTGAAAGTGGCGGGTGCTGTCTGTTTCTTTTTCTGGTTCCCAGCCTCTCGAAGATAGACTGCCTTTGTTCATGGAGGCTCGAGCAAGTCATAGCTCGACCAAGCGCCTCTTTCCCAACCCAAACTGTTGTGTGAATCCACGGGTCAAGAGGGGGCGGGAGGGGGGCCAAGATGCATGAAAAGGCTTTTCAAGGCTGGGGAGAGCAGAAGAAAGAGACGGGGGTGGGTGGGTAGGAAGGGTCGCCTAATTTAAACCGTTCGCCCGGAGTTTCAAGAATAGGCTCCTGTGCAGCTCCCGGTGTCTTTCCTCGGAAGTAAATCTTATTCCGTCCAAGGTCTGGGTAACAATTCGCACTTTTGATAGCAACCAAGGTTTACTGGCAAGAGATTACGGGGGGATCCGCTGGGACGTGGCTTTCCTGCTTTTTGGTCTTTCGTAAGGGGGAAGGAGAGGGGGAGGGAGGGGGCTTCCGCATCTCTTCCCAATCCCATCTGGGAACAGAGCTGCAACCGTGCGCCCCCGGGCTCCTATACACGGGTCCGTTGGCCCCGGACTTTTCCTCAGACGTTGCCCCTCCCTCCCTCCCTCCCTCCCGGCCTTCCCCTCCCCTCCCCGCGCGCTTTATTTTTGCTGAATTAAGAAGGTGACATTATCCTCCCCTTCAAGTACTTCTGTTAATATTGAAAAACGTGCGTTTGCATCTCAAGCGGCCTCGCTGAGGCTCCGCCGCCATTTCAATATTAATGAAATTGTTTAATCTCCTAAATTCGTCGTGTTTAAGTTACGTTTCGGTGAGTTATTGACCAGCAACAAAAATGTGGTTAATGGGGTGTGTGGACGGGTGAGTGTGGGTGAGTGTTAAAAGAAAAGGAGGGGGTGGGGGGGGAAATCACCCTCCCGCTCTGGGGCCCGGTTTCTTTCGGGCAGTCCATTCGCAAGACTCCGGGTTTACGCGAAGCACAGCGAAATGCCCGGCGTGATTTAGTAGCAGAATCGGGCCCTTGTTACGGCTTTTCCGACTACCCGCAACCCCCTCCCTCTGCGCGCATTTCCGCGGGCGAGTTTTTTTTTCCCTTTTTTTTTACTCTCTGGGTATCTTGTCGCTGTCTAAGGTGGGGAGGCAAGAAAGGAAGCGTCCTCCCACGCCCCCACGATAATATTTCGACCCACTGGTGACGGATTCAAGATGTGCATCCCCACCTTTCCAAAGGGGATCGCGCCGGGGGTATGCAATCCTTCCTCCCCACCCACCCACCCCCTCCATTCCGCCTTGTATGGCCAGACAATCGCCCTGTGAGGTGAGCTGTTTAGGATTGAGCGGTTCCAAATCTCCACGCCCCACTTCCACAGAGGTGGGGAAACGGGTAACCAAGACTCCAGGGCCCCACCTTCTCCGAGTGGGCATTTGGGCACAGATCGCGGTGCCTCAAGTGGCGCGGAGTTCCACGAGACCATTTCGGGAAAAGCAGCCAGGTTTGTTTCGGTTAATCTTTGGCTAGGCTTGGAAAGGACACCACTAAGGAAAGACCCCTCCCCGATTCTCCTTCAGGTTCTCCCTCCCTCCGGCTCCTCTCCTCCTAAGGTGTCCTTGCTCCTTCCTCCCTCCCTCCCTCTCTTCCCCGCTAGCCAGAGAGGGCTGCGCTGCCCCCTTTCCTCATTAAGGCTTCTAGGCGAGATCAAGGAGCCAAGAATGCCACTCTTTTAGACGTGAATACAGTTCGGGCATTTTTGCAGTCCTTGGTGGAATTTTAGCTGGGAAGGAAGTGGGGGGGGGCTGGGATGGTTTGTGGGAGGGGATCCTTTGCCTCCCCCCCAAGAAAGTACTCCTGTGAAGGTTTTGATCAGGCTTGCTTTGAGTCAGGGGCCTGATGATCCCCGAGAGCAGGAGGTGCGAGGCGAAGAATATCCATTTGATGGAGCCTCCCACCGTCCTTCTCCCTTCATGAGGACTAGAACCTTAGCGGAAACCCCCGGCGTTCATGAGGCGAACGTCTGAAGGCGAACTGCGGTCCCAGAGACCCGTTTCTTCAAAACTAGGATAGGATGGCGCCTCAAGTGAACGACCCCATCCCACCGGCCCGCCTTAGCTAGTCATCCCCGGCTGAGCACCCAAGAGGCCCCCGCTCAGCCCGTCTCGAGAGGCGGGGATTTGCTCACCTCTTTCGCTTCTACGGCCGTCGGGAAAAGCGGCTTTACCGGCCGCCAGGCCTCCCTGGAAGGCGGGGAAGAGCGGCGGGAATCGAGGCAGCTCGGCCGAACGGCTGAACGGAGTGGAATTGCGCTTGCGAGGAATCGGGGCAGCCGGATTCCGCTCCCGTCCCCGTCCAGCTGTTAACCGCTGGGCTGGCGGGCCCTCCCTGGGTCGGGTCCTGCCTCTCCCGAAGCGCCGGCGGGAAAGGGGAGCGGGCGGAGAGGAGGCCTCTTCAAAGGCGGCGGCGCTTTCCCGCCCCACTGCCAAGTTGGCATCTTTACGCAGCAACTCCGGGTCGCTCCCCTCGCCTCGGACTCTCCCGGGAAGATTTGACCCAAGACTCAGGGTCTCGGACCCTGCCCGCCCCCGCCCCCTGCGGGAAAATGTGTAGGGGAGAAAAGCAAGGCCGCCGCAACCGTTCAACCGAGGAACGGCTGTCCCAACCCGGCCCGCTTCCTCTGGCCGGCCCCCGCGCCCCCGCCCTCCCATCCTGAAGCAAAGCGGGCAGCGCCGGAGGCTGAACTTCCTTCGCCCTCCTGGAAGGCGCAACCTTCTTCCCACCGAGTGGGACTTGCGCCGCAATGGGGCCCGTGAAGTTACTCCCGCTGCCCTACGCTTCCTTGGGAAGGGGGACCCCGGCGTGGCGGGCTTCTGGCCCAGAGGAGCCTCTGCAGCTGGGGTGAGCGAACGGGCAGCCGGCCAGGCCGAGGCGCCCCTCCCGCCAATAAGTCGGGCTGCCCCAGCAGAGCTCCCGCCCACCTCGCTGGGCAGCGGCTCGGATTCTAGCGGAGTCGCCAGGCGGGCAAGAGCACAGCTCCTTGGGCGCAAAAGCCGGGCAGGCCGGTTGGTTGGCGGCCGCAGCTCTTCGGGGGGGGCGAGGCTGGTCGCTCCCCCCTCCGCCGGCCCAGAAGCGCTTCCCATTGGCCCCCCGCGTGCCGGGGAGGGGGAGCGGCGGGGCTGCAAGCAGTGACCCCCTCCGCGCCGGCCCCGGAGCCCCGCCCCTTCCCCCCTCCCCGGCGGGTGTCATCGCAGAGCGAAGAAAGTGGCCCATTAGCGCGGCGCCTCGACGGGGGCCTTTTCTGCGCCAGCCCCCGCCTGCCAAGCTCAGATGGGCGGCAGGCGGCAAGAGCAGGAGGAGGAGGCGGCCGCGCCAGCGCTGGGCACGGCCGGGGCTGCTTAGCCCGGCGGCTGCGGAGAGTCAGAAAGGGGCCGCCGGGTCTCCTGCCCACAGACCCCCTTCCCGGGAAGCCGGGAGCCCCGGCCGGACCCGCAGAAAGGAAGGCTCCGGGCGCCGTTCGCCGGCTGACTCCGCTCGCTCGCGGCGCCTGTGAAGTGAGTGCCCGGGGCGGGAGGGGTGGCGGGGGGGGCTCTGGGGGGACGGAGGTCTTGGACGGTGCCCCCCCTCCCCGCTGGCTGCGGTTGGCGCGGGACCTGCTTACGGGGAGGGGCGAGCCGTTACAAATTGGGAGCGCCGGGAAGCCGTCGGGAGCCCGCGGAGGGGAGGGGAGGGATCGGGGGCAGCGCATAAAACGGAAAGGAGAGCGAGCGAGCGGCCAGGCGGCTTGTGCCCAGTGCCGGCTGCTGCGGCTCGGCGGAGCTCTCGGGCGGCCGGAGGAAAGCGCCGCCCCCGCCGGAGGAGCCTGCCCTTCGGCGTGCCAGAGGGGCGGGTGGCAAAGAAAGGGGAAGACCCGGAGGGCCGCGAGGCGCGGGGTGCCGTCCCGCAGGGGTGGTCCCGGGGCTGTCAGCCGGCCAGGCCGGGCTGGAGGTCGCCTCCGCTGGGCTCGCCCCTCCCGCCGAGAGACCGCCCCCACCCCCTCCCCAAGCTGCCGCGCTCAGCCCGGGGAGGGAAGTTGCCGGCTCCACCCGCCCCCCCAAAAGAGAGAGTGAGCCTTGTTGCCCAAGGGGGGCCAGGACGCGCCCCCGCCCCCTCCCCGCCCCCCCTCCTCGCCCAGCCCGCTAATTCCGCCTCCCTGCGCTGCAGATCCCGGCCGGCGCAGCCGCTTCCACCATGCCCCGTCCGGGCCGCAACACGTACAGCGACCAGAAGCCGCCCTACTCCTACATCTCGCTGACCGCCATGGCCATCCAGAGCTCGGCCGAGAAGATGCTGCCGCTGAGCGAGATCTACAAGTTCATCATGGAGCGCTTCCCCTACTACCGGGAGAACACGCAGCGCTGGCAGAACTCCCTGCGCCACAACCTCTCCTTCAACGACTGCTTCATCAAGATCCCGCGCAGGCCCGACCAGCCGGGCAAGGGCAGCTTCTGGGCGCTGCACCCCAGCTGCGGGGACATGTTCGAGAACGGCAGCTTCCTGCGCCGCCGCAAGCGCTTCAAGGTGCTCAAGGCCGACCCGCTGGCGCCCTCCAAGCCGCCCCCCGAGGCCGCCCACTACCTGCAGGCCCAGGCCAAGCTCCGCCTGGGCGCCCTGGCCGCCGCCGCCGCCGCCTCTTCCGCGCCGCTCGGCCCCTACGGGCTGCCCGTCCCGCCGCCCTCCGGCTTCAAGCACCCCTTCGCCATCGAGAACATCATCGCCCGCGAGTACAAGATGCCCGGGCCGGGCGGGGGCGGCGGCGGGGGCGGCGGGGCGCTGCCTTTCTCCGCCATGCCGCCCGGACCGGCCGCCTACCCGCTGCCCAACCAGCTGCCCCCCGCCTGGCCCCACGTCTACGGCCCCGCCGGCATGCTGGACCCGGCCGCCCCCATCGCGGTGGCCGGCGGGGACTACGCGGCCGCCGCCGCCGCCGCTGCTGCCGCCGCCGCCTACGGAATGCCGCTGAAGCCGCTGTGCCACGGCGGGCAGACGCTGCCGGCCATCCCGGTGCCCATCAAGGCCACACCGGCCGCCACCGTCCCGGCCCTGCCCGCCCTGCTGCCCAACTCGCCGCCCTCGCTCAGCCCGCCCTCCACGCAGACGGCGCCCAGCCAAGGCAGCCCCGCCACCCCCAGCGAGACGCTCACCGGGCCGCCCTCCGTCCTGCACGCCGTGGTGGCGGTCCACTGACCCCGGCCGGCGCCGCCCTCCGCCCAGGAACCAGCGGGGAGACGAGGCGAGGCGGCCGTCCGAAGGTCCCCAAGACGGTCGGGTCTTTGGAGCCAGCCCGTCCCTCCTCTTTCCAACCGCCGCCGGACCCAGAAGCCGGGCCCACGATCCGGACGGGGCTGCGCTCCAGAGGCGAGGGGCTCGCAGCAGCCCGCCGTCCTCCTTTCGCGGACGCGCGGGGATTTTGCAAAGGCTTCTTCCCTAAGCGACCTTCCCGGACCGCGCAAGCAGGCAGTGAGGCTGGCTCTCCTCGCGAGGCTGATTGTCGGTTCCCAGCTCCGCCGGTTCCTCGCGCGCCACGCTCCCCTTTCGCCTTTCCAGATGCCGCCGCCTCCTCCACGTTGCAAGACGGCATTGGCGAGTGGGGAAACGCGGGGGGGACTCGCGCAGAAGAGGATTCGCGCCTGGGACCCCGGGCAAGCCAGCACCCCAAAGCGACCGGCGTTGGAAATCCTCTACTTTGGGGTATCAGAATCCACCCGCTGGATCTGGTGGTTGGGACCCGGCCGGTTTTCCCTCCCGGTCAGCGCCCACGGACGCTTACTCGGAAGTCAGTGCCTTCCACCCTCGGGGGTTGACTTGCGAGGAAATCGGCTGCTGCGGCCGGCTAACGGCTGGGAAGGACCCCGAGCACAAACTTGGGTGGGAGTTTGCTTGAAGCGATAAACTTGGACTGGGACGGCCCCACGTGCCGACGAAGCCTTGTCAAGGCGGCACGACGATCCCCCGGCCCGCCCGTGAGTGTGTTTCAGCCCTTTCACCCCTCCTGCAACGCTTAAAGTTTAATTTCTGCGCGGGGAGAAAGCGAGGCTCTGAAATGGTTTCTTCGCCCAGTTTTGGCTCTGCTGGCATTTTCCTCTGTTTGGGGAGGGGGGGCTCGCCCCGGGCGGGAGGAAGGGAGGCGCGGAGGCCCCTAAATTTACCCAGCCAAGTGGAGCATCTCTCTTTTTCCCCCTGGAAGTTTTGCAGACACACCCGGAGTGGGAAATGTGTAAAGTGTCTGTGAACCGGGATGACTGCCAGTTGTGTCCGATGCACTTTTATCCCGCGTCCCTCCTTTTCTCCCCTTGGCTACTGTGCAGCTCCTCTCGCCCACCGTTTTGTGTGACCTGGTCAAGGGGCCCCGCTGCTCCGAAGCTGTGAAAGAAACGGGGGGGGGGGGGGGATCCTGAGGGGAGTTGGGAGGGGGCGCACTCAGAGACGCAGGAGGACCCGGAGAAAAGAGCGCTGTGGGTTGGTTCCGAGGGTGGGGTGGGTTTCTTGAAGGGTCGGGCCCGAACGCTTTCTTTCGTTCCCACGTGGATGGTTTGTTCTTGTACAGGATGAGCATGATATTTAAAATATGAATGTTCTTGTGAATATCTTCAGCATGCGTGTTTTCGGGCAAAGGTCTGACTTTTTTTGTTATTATTATTATTATTATTATTGCTTCTCTTGATATGGTGTTTGGATTGTTGTCGGTTGGGTTTGGGGTTTGTTTGTTTTTGTTTTTGTTTTTTTTTTGGCTCTCAAAGTGTCTATCTTTAAATTATGAAACTAGCCGTCCAAATAATATTTTCTCATTAAAAGATGTAAAGGCGGTTTTCCTTTTTTCGGTCTTCTTTTTGAGCTGAAAAGGGAGGGGAGGCCAATTCGCTTTGCATAAATTATTTCCGGAGGAAGGGGACCTAAATGAACGGATGGGGGGGGAGGCTCTCTCTGGGGAGAACAAGCGAAACAGCCTCAAGAAGATTTCAGAAGCTGATTTGTATCTTCGGATTTCTGGTCTAAGTAGCTGGTGCCAGGCAGAGCACCGGGCTGGAAGGGGAGGACGGAGTTTTCTGCGGCTTCCTCGTTAAAGCGGGATTAGCCCAAATTCCGGAAAGTTTCGGCAGCGTTTGGTAGAACTTCTGGGAAGTTGGGTTACGCCGCCCAAGAGAGAGAAGCCCGCGAAAGGGCCTTACTTCCGAGTCAAGAAGCCGAGGGCGCCCACCTCTTCGCTAGTTAGAAACCTCGAGAGGGGGAAACCGGTTCCTGATTTCAGGATCCGATGTTTTGATTTTGCGGGATTGGGCCCCGTTTGACCCCCCCCGGCCTTCCCCAGGCGTTCGTTCGCCCTTCGGAAGGCAGGAGTTCAACAGGAACGTCGAGGGCCTCGGCTCACAATCCCGCGGGGAACGGAGGGTTCTGCCGGGCGCTGCCCAATCCAGCCCCGCGGCCTTGGCGCTTCTCCGGTTGAAAGGCAGCCTGAGTCGATCGCTGGGTAGCCCCTCCGAGGTTCGTCCGCCGTTGTGGCTTGCGTGGCGTTTCCTCCCGGAGAAATAGCTGGGGGGGCGGCGGGGCGGCGGCCGCTACTTTTTCCTCGCCGCGATGGAAAAGGTAATAAAAGCAGAATAATAAGGTAACACCAGTGGCGGTGAGCCTTCCAGGATTTTGGACCTTGGCTGGCATTAATTACCAAGCTTTTAACCCCCTTTTCGGCTGTGCATTTGTGGGATGGACTCCAGACTGAAGCCCCCCGCCTGTTTACTCGGAAGTAACCCATGCGCCTCCCGAAGGGGCTTCCCCAGAGGAATTTAAGAGTGGCCCTTTAAAAGGGACTTTGCGCCGGACTCCAAGCGCCGCCTTGGAAATGCCCCCCCCCCCCACACGCCCCCCTTCAATGTAAACAGCGGAGATTTGTGGCGTGGCTGCTTCTGGTCTGGTCTAACGGGCCCAATTCACCTCCCACTCCTAGAAGGAAAAGGGCGACCTGTGTAACTACAACGCATCATTGGATTAATTAAAATGCACCGGGCTACTAAAGACAGGGCGGGAAGGGGGGGGTGAGTCGCCCCATTCATCAAGAGCAGCCCACGATTAGATCCCCCTGCTCAGGCGAGGGGAAGCGTCCACGGCGGAGTCCAAGATGGGTGGGGGAGGGGAGGGGACGAAGGGGGGTGAAGAAAGGCATAGCGCCCCCCAATCCATCTCCCCAGAGTTAATCTAGGGGAGAAATTGCGTCCCGAAAGGAAACCGGGAGCCCGATCCACAACCCCCCAACTGAACCAAATGGCAGCCCACCTTCCGCTTACTCATAAGTAGGTCTGGCCTGAAGACGGGCTAAATCGCAGGGTTGGGAGATTGTAGTCCAGCCACGCTTGGCGTGGGGGGTGGGGGAGTGCCCCTGAAGGCCGGAAGAGTGGGAGCGGGTCCTTTTAAATAAACAGGGAAAGAAGCTGGCAGCCGCCACCCCCAGGCAGACGGAAATGGGGGAGGGGGGTGGCGGTCTGGTATTAGTTTGACCTGAGTAGCAATCGTGGCGATGGGCAGTTTTTTCTCTTCCCCAGACTTGGTTTCCCATCTTGCCACTCAACTCCCACCCCCCACGGGAGAATGCGGCGGGGCCTTCCAAAACAGTGGCCCAGCCGGTTTACTCTGGAGTAAACAGAGAGAACTTGCTCGATCCCTTAACTTGTTGGGGCAGGACAGTTTAGCAACAGGTGCGCTTGAGACAGTATGAAGCCCGTTTTCTCTGGATCGCGCTGCGAAAGTCCCTAGCAAAAGGTGGCCGGGAGCTTTCCTGCGTCTGGTCTGACAAAAATGTGCAAGTTAGCCTGCGGAACTCCGCGGCACTTGAAGCGTCTCTCTCTCTTTCCGACCAGGCGCGCTGGCGGCTGTTCCCATCCCAAACTTTCGGCATTGGGTCTGTTATTGGGGCATTCGCAATTCGACTCTTTTTGAGAACGGCAGTTATTTTAGAAAGGAAAAGGGACATTTTTTCTTGTCAAAAGGCGCCAGACTCTTCCGAAGTACCTGAGCACCTGTTTGCGCCAGGAATTTAAACCAAAGGGGGGGGGGGAAACCGGGGCGAGATCCCACCTCACGAGGTGAAAAAGAAGCTGATTTTATCACTTAAAAAAAAAAACACGAATACAATTAGCCTGGGAGAAGCCAGCCGACTTTCTTCCGCAGCCATAAATAAATAAACAGGAGAATTAATATGCCCTTTAATAAAGGAAACTTTCCATCTGTTTCCCAAAGTCCTCGCTCCCTTTCAAAGCCGCTGCACAACTTTCGGGATTACTTGAAAGGAAAAGGAAAAGCACCCCTAACTCAACGCCCCCCCCACACACACACAGGCACCGGGGCCGAGGAAGGAGCCTTGGGACACGGGGGTGGGGGAGATACGAAGGGGCAAGAACGCCGGGCTGGGAACCCAAGAAGGAAGGGGGCCGTATTTGTTTCTTTTAAACTAACAACAAATTATCTAATTAATATGTTTCAATTACAGCCTGTGGAAAGGCGGCTTTGGACCGCCCGCCGGGGAAGCACAATAGCTTTCCAACCCCGGACAATAACTTCACAGCTGTTTCTTCCCTCTCCGCCCCCCCCCCACTCCTCAAGTCGTCTGGGAAAGGAGGGGAGGGGAGGAAAAAGAGAGTAAATAGATATATTTATATAAATTCCCCCTTTCCGTTCCAACCTCGCTGCAGACCAAACTAGCAGCGCCAGGCAGAAAGTGAAGAATTAGCAAGCGGGGTGGGGAGAGAAAAAGAAAGAGAGAGAGAGAGAAATCCACCAAATGCTTTCTCTCTCTCGCTCGCTCGCTCGCTCTCTCTCCATCCCCCTCCTCAGTTTCTCTCTCCACTCCGGGCTTCATTGGGGGGGGGGGGAAAGAGTGTGAAAGCCCCCCCCCGCGCGTCCCATCCGCGCCACCCCCGCTGAAAAGCATTAAACAAATATATTAGAACCCTGTCACTTTCTCCAATTGACTAGATCAAAACCAGCCTCTCAGGACACTTCATTCCCTGAATGGGAAAAGGCAGCGAAGGGGGCAGCCGGGCAGGGCCACCACCGATGTCGCTGGAGCTGCCCCCCCCCCCCGCCCCCCTCCCGCCCCCCCCCCCCCCCCCCGCCCCGAGACAAAAAGCTGGCATTTTCACCACCACATTTCTGACCCAGAGACTAGGAAACCGCCTCGGGAACCTCTTGGAATTTCAATGCGTTTTCTTTTCTCTCTCTCTCCCTCTCTCTTTCTTTCTTTCTCTCTCTCTCTCTCTCCCTCCCTCCCTCCCT